ATTGCCTTGGGGTCGCCATTGTTGTTGATTAGAAGAGTTGCCCCTTTGGCCTTGATAATTATTCACATATTGTACCTCTTTGTTTTGTTCATCATAACCATCACTTTGAAATCCAACACAGTCATTATCAAATTGCTCAGAATTCCCTTTGTTTTGTTGCCCTCATTGTCTTCTTTTGTTGACTAGCATGTTGACACCCTCCATGGCATTCACTTGGCGAGGATTTTGAACTTGTTGCAACTGTGCCTTTGCTAGTTGGTTCATCGTAGTTGTCAACTCAGCTATAGCCTGCCCATGATCATGTAACTCCTTGTGCAAATGAGTAACTGTAGTTGTCAACTCAGCTATAGCCTGCCCATGATCACGAACCATTTGAGATGTTTTAAGCATTTTGATTTGCAGCGCCCGTAAAATACCCAAGTCGCTCTAGTAATGTCAACATCACACTGGGTATTTGAAAATTGCCCGCCCGGATTCGGGGTGGGACAATAACACTTGCATAGCCTTGGTTCGGAAGCACTCTAGGAGCCACTCTTGGAGGTGGCAGAGGAGGGTCTGGAATATTGTCATTAACATTAGCATTAGCCTGGCGGCCTTTATGTTGTCCTTGAGGTACAAGAGGCACCTCATCATCTCCGACATCATCTACCTCCTCCCCCGCAATTACATTTCCAAGAGGGTCATTGGCGTTGTTCGCTACCATTTGGTACTTGAGTTGTGACACAAATAAATTAGTAACAAAGAAGGAAAGAAGAACAATACACAAAAATAGTTAGATAGATATCCAAAACCATTAGCTCCCCGACAACAGCGCCAAAAAAGTGATCGAGGCCAACCCTGCACTACTATTGAGTAGCAACAGAGGGTCGAAGCAGCTTTTACCCGATTAAGGTCAGGATTGATTTCCACAGGGAGCTAGAAGTTGGAGTTGAGTTTCTATCTAATTGAGAGTTGTGTATGTGTTACAAAATTACACTTCTAAACATTTTTGGGTTTTTGTTTTACTTCTAATTTTATCAACCTACAATGCTAAATTAAACTAGAATAAGCTAGGAGTAAACTATTGCGAGTTGTTCAAATGGTTAAAAGGCACTAGGGTAGTGACTTTTGCCTAGGTGGTCAATTGACGGATACTTGGATCTAATGCAGTATTGACATATTTGGGGAGTATGATATAAGCATTGTACGATTTTACCCACTCTACACCTCTCAGTGGTTCGAGTGATTTTGCCCGAATTGACTTTCTCAAGACCAATTGGGTATGCAACCTCATCACAAGCAATCAAGGGTCACGTCGGGTACTACTATCTCTAGGTTTAACCCTTTAATTGGGGCTATCAATCTCTTAAGTAAGCCCCAATTACATGTTGGACCAATTTCAAAGACTTAGGCTCTCTTTCTCAAGAAGAACCAAAGTCAACTAAACAAAAATCAGTGTTTGCAACCACCAATTCAGTAATTAAACATGAAATTGGCCACATATTTGGGGAGTATGATATAACCGTTGCACGATTTTACCCACTCTACACCTTTTGGTGGTTCGAGTGATTTTGCCCGAATTAATTTTCTCAAGACCAACTGGGTATGCAACCTCATCACAAGCAATCAAGGTTCAAGTCGGGTATTACTATCTCTATGTTTAACCCTTTAATTGTGGCTATTAATCTCTTGAGTACGCCCCAATTCCTTGTTGGATCAATTTCAGAGATTTAGGCTCTCTTTCTCAAGAAGAGCCAAAGTCAACTAAACACAAATTAGTATTTGCAACCACCAATTCAGCAATTAAACATGAAATTGGCCCAAATATCAAACACCCATAGTCAATCTAGCCCTAAAACACAAAACCCATCAATTACCCACATTAGGGTTGAGCCACAACCCTAGCTTATGGGTCTAGCTACTTATAATTGAAGAAGAAAACAAAGAAATAGATGAAGAAAAACTCATATTAATTAATTGCTAAGATAAACTAGAAGATTCAATGTTGAAATGACGCTAAAATTGCTCAAAATAGCTAAAACTATAGAAGTCACGAGCGCAACTCAGTACAAAATCTATCTGATGACCTAAAAATGGGAAAAGAAGCTATTTATACTAAGCTGTAAAATCTGGACAAAAATACCCCTGCGGGGCTAGTGCAGACTGCACAAAATTACGTGCGTCCGTACTAGGGCTCTGAACTTGAAAATTCAACTCTCTAAACTCGGGCAATGCGGACCGCACAGTATCGAGTGCAGCCGCGGTGGCTTCTAGTGCGGTCCGCATGAAATGGAGCGCGGACCGCATTGGATTCAATCTCCAAACTGGCACTTCTCTGATCTTTGGTTCTGTGGACCGCACTAAATCAAGTGTGGCCGTAGTGACTCCAATGCAGACCGCATTAAATCTCATGCGGCCGTATTGCCTGTTGGCTTGGAAATTAACCTCTCTGAACCTCACTTGTGCGGATCGCACAGAATGGTGTGCAGTCGCATTTGGCCTGTTTTGCCTGAACTTTGTCTTGTCTTGGTACTTGTGCAAGTTTCACTCCTTTTTGAGCTGATCTTTGACATCTTGTCACTTTGCTGATCAAACCTGCAATCAAGCACAACTTGTGAGCCTTTTGAGACTACTTGTACAAATTTCTAATCAAAAACATAAGCAAGAAGGAGTATAAAATGTATCAAAATCCCTAGTTATCAAGCACCGGTGCTCCAGTCTCCAGTATATTATACTGGAGCCAGCAAAGTATACCGGTCCAGCATAATATGCTGGAAGTTCATACACAGGTGCACCGAACTCCAGTATATTATCCTGGACCGATCTCTGTTGTAGCAAAATAGTGGCTATTTTTCATTGACTTGGTAAACGCTGGCTATTTTTTAATGACCAGTCCGAAAACTGACTAGACCGTGCTATTTTTACTTTGCAATAACGATAATGGGCGCTAAGATCAGTGGCGAATATAGTTCATTGCGCGTGTATCATGTCTCAATGAGAAAGTATTTTTAAAATATTGCATAAATATTACATATTTTAAAATTTAGTGTTTTCGTTATAAAATAAAAAATTATATTCCTAAAATGCTGAAATATTCATCTAATATAGCAAAGTCAATAAAAGAAAAAACATTCCTTATATAAGTTCTGAAGGATCAATACATATCTTCATAACTTAAATTTATTTTAACGTTAGAATTTCATCACTTCAAATCGTAAGTTATTATGGTTCCTTTTTAGTTTTAAAGAGAATACATAACTTCTGAAGATTTGAGAGTTCTATTTAAACTTTTTCTTGAAAAAGCTATTCTCTAGTTTATTCTAGAAAACACAAACAAGTCGTCAAACAAATAAAAGACAATCTAAGTCTAAATCTCTGAATTTTTGTACCTTCTACGTTGGCTTAGGTCTAATGTTCATTGAATTTAAATTCTTTTAAGTAGTATAAATCACATTGATAAATTCTAGCCAATTCATTCATGGAACTTGTTAGTATAATTTTACTCAACTTAGAGTGTAACTTACCAAATTAAACTAAAGGAATACCAAAGTAAAAAAATTCATATCGAATCCTAAAATCATAAATTTAGTTTTATCGAAAATAAATTATTAATTATAATTATAATTATTTTCTCCAATACGAAGTAATGGTACATTGATATAATTAACTAAAATAAAAGGTAAATAGAATATAAAAAAGTATAACTTACCTACTTGTCATGCTTTGCTCTAAAAGATTCAAAACGAAAAAAAATGGATGATAAGTAAAAAAAAACATTCAGTTTAATCATATAGCCAACAACAGTCATCCCCGAAGAATCATTAAAGCTGACATGGTCTGTTTGAACTTTAGATGTCCCATTCCTCGTTTGTTTCATGCAGAAATTTTAGTTTTATACGCCATTTTACTATAGTCACTCCTTTAGCTAGTCATTGAGAGGCATTGTCTATCCATTCCTCAAGAAGAAACGAATTTGTGTTCCAAAATAAGTAAAAATTCAAAAAAGAAAAAAAAGAAGAAAATAGAACCAAATCTTTCAAGAAGGAGACTAAATTGTTGAAGAATCCTAGACAATTTAAAGTTATAGTAATTATTATAATTTCCTACCTAGCTAGTTGAAATACATAAGGATATATATAAGTGAAATGTGTATAAAGAAAAGATAGGAATTCCTAAATATTAGAGATTGCTACATAAGTGATTATTCCTAAAAAATAGGAAAAATACTCAAATGACTATTTTGTCTAGTGTAAAGTCTTTGTTTAAAAGGGTAAAAAAGATGAACGACATTTCGCTAAGAGCCTTCGTGATTTTAATATAGGAAAAAGTACAAAAATAGCCAATTTAAATACAAACTTACCAACCTCTAGCCGAAAATTAGACACTTACCAAAAGTAGCCCAAAATTAGATATGCACGTAAGGAAGGATTCTTCTATCCGAGAATCACGCTAAAGATCTTCCTTCCTTCCCTATTTTTTCAAGCGTATCAATTTAACAGATCACGACATTCTCTACCTCTGTAAATCATGGCATTCTCTCTAAAACAATTCTCAAAAAGAGCTCCAAATTTCACTCAAAATCAATCAATTTCACTATATACCTTCGCAATTTCTGTATAGATACAACTTTTGCAATTTCTATGTAGAAGGAACTACGAACTGCAATCAAAATCAATCAAGGAATTAGTGAGTTTTGACCTAATTTCAGCTACTTCAATGGCAAATTTACCAATTTTTATTTAGTATGGTGGTCGATGGAATGTTGACAACAGCTTTGTCGATTATAACGCAGATGCTGTAATAGTTACTCCAAATATAAGTTTCGACGATTTTGTAGACGTGATTTCGAAACAACTTATGATAGATACTTCATTGAATGATATTGAAATCAAATACATTGTCCAAAACAATTCTCCGCCAATAGTGATACATAATAGTATGGGTGTATGTGTATATCTTGAGCTGAAAAAAGCTCAAAATTTACAATGTATCCCCTTTGTATAACATCGAGTGAAAAGGATATGGACATGATCTGCTACAATTCCAATTCTGTTGTGATTTCCTCAGAATGTGCACAAAGCTCAGTTGTAGAAGAGAGATACAATGACGATACAATTAAGATGATCGAGTTTGGGGATGGAGAAGACTGGAATGATACAGAATCTGATAAAAATACAATAATAACTGACCCTCAACACATAGATGTAGAAGAAGGTCAAATTTATAAAGACAAGGCAACGATAGTCAAAGTCATGAGGCACTTGGCAGTAAAGGAAAAATTTCAGTTTAAGGTGGATAGATCAAGTGAAAGCAGATATCAAAATATTTATTGTATAATTATATATCCCAATGTATATCGTAGTTGATGTTAGAAGCATAATTATGCAGAAAATAAGTTGTTGCTTTTAAGTATGTGGCTGTACACTTTTAAGTTGTGGTTGTCACCGTCTAATACTGTATAGTCATTGTATTTTTTCATCTAGTATTGTTGATGGCAGTATGTATCACTATATATCATTGTATTTCATGTCGCTCTGTTTATTGATGGAAAAATTTATATCCTTATCATAGGTACTGCCTAATATGCATCAACAACAACTGTGATTGGTATTTAAATCTTCGATCCTAAAAAAAGCAAACGTTTTCAAGGTTAGAAATTTTAGCAAAGTGCACTCATGCCCCCTGAAAGACAGATCTTACACACAACGTCAAGCTACTGCAAAACTCATTGGCAGTTTTCTGATAGACAAGTATAAAGACCCAAAAATAATATATACTCGTAATGACATAATTGGAGACATGAACAAGCAATATGGTCTTCAGATGACATATATGCAAGCATGAAGATCGAAAGAATATGCAGTTCAAGTACTGAGAGGGAACCCGAGCGAATTATATGAAAACCAGAGGAAGTTTGAAAAAAATAGAGGAAGACTTGTTCATGTATGCTTTCGTTTTACTATATCCGTCTATAAAAGGATTGCAGTGTTGCAAACCGGTTGTTGTTGTAGATGGAACCTTTCTTAAATCGGCATATAGAGGAACATTATTGATAGCATCNTACACTGTTCTGGTGGATCCTGTCATCAGCAACCTTTAGCTTGTTGAGAGTAGCCAAAGGACAAATATTGGCACTTGACCCGTTATCAATTAATGCTCGAGTGACCACCGATTCTTCGCATTTTACCGTCAGATAGAGTGCTTTGTTGTNGGGATGGAGAAGACTGGAATGATACAGAATCTGATAAAAATACAATAATAACTGACCCTCAACACATAGATGTAGAAGAAGGTCAAATTTATAAAGACAAGGCAACGATAGTCAAAGTCATGAGGCACTTGGCAGTAAAGGAAAAATTTCAGTTTAAGGTGGATAGATCAAGTGAAAGCAGATATCAAAATATTTATTGTATAATTATATATCCCAATGTATATCGTAGTTGATGTTAGAAGCATAATTATGCAGAAAATAAGTTGTTGCTTTTAAGTATGTGGCTGTACACTTTTAAGTTGTGGTTGTCACCGTCTAATACTGTATAGTCATTGTATTTTTTCATCTAGTATTGTTGATGGCAGTATGTATCACTATATATCATTGTATTTCATGTCGCTCTGTTTATTGATGGAAAAATTTATATCCTTATCATAGGTACTGCCTAATATGCATCAACAACAACTGTGATTGGTATTTAAATCTTCGATCCTAAAAAAAGCAAACGTTTTCAAGGTTAGAAATTTTAGCAAAGTGCACTCATGCCCCCTGAAAGACAGATCTTACACACAACGTCAAGCTACTGCAAAACTCATTGGCAGTTTTCTGATAGACAAGTATAAAGACCCAAAAATAATATATACTCGTAATGACATAATTGGAGACATGAACAAGCAATATGGTCTTCAGATGACATATATGCAAGCATGAAGATCGAAAGAATATGCAGTTCAAGTACTGAGAGGGAACCCGAGCGAATTATATGAAAACCAGAGGAAGTTTGAAAAAAATAGAGGAAGACTTGTTCATGTATGCTTTCGTTTTACTATATCCGTCTATAAAAGGATTGCAGTGTTGCAAACCGGTTGTTGTTGTAGATGGAACCTTTCTTAAATCGGCATATAGAGGAACATTATTGATAGCATCAACACAAGATCCAGCAGGTAATATCCTACCACTCGCATATGCCATAGTAGATTCAGAGAATAATGCTTCCTGGGAGTGGTTTTTTGCGAGATTCAAGGATGCATTTGGGGAAAGGGAGGGAATGTGCATAGTCTCGGACAGGCATGAAGGCATTGAAAATGTAGCGCCAACATTGTATCCACAAGTACCTCATTGTGTCTGCATATGACATCTATGGAATAATGTAAAAAAAAATTACAAAAAAACCATTTGCTACTCAAAGACATATTCTTTGCTATAGCCAAAGCATACACAGTTGAAAAGTTTGATTACCACATGGAAGAGGTAGAGAAAATTGATAAGAGGGTCAAAGATTACTTAATGAATATTGGGTATGAAAGATGGTCCATAGCATATTCCAGTGTCAACAGAACATTGACGATGACTTCAAACATTGCGGAGTCGATCAATGCAGCACTCAAGGCTGCTAAGGAACTCCCAGTACTGCCTTTGCTTGACTACATAAGGAAATTGATCAGACGATGGAATGTTACAAACTTAAAGAATACAACAGAGTCGGTCACTGATCTTGGAAAAAAATATAATACAATGCTGATGGACAATCTTGAATTGTCACATCAGATGAAGGTATGACTGGAATCTATATATACTTGCACATAGAATATATAATCATGTCGACTTCACGGATCTATTATATCTTGAACCCTTTGTGTAATTCTGTTAAACTAGTGTCCACTACACAAAAGCAAAGGCTTTCAATTTAATGTAGCATTTATGCCTACCCTACTCCTGAAATATTGGTTGGTTTGATATGATATTAAGCTATTTTGAATCTTGTAGGCTCTCTAGTATATGTATTTTGTGGGCATCTACTTTGTCACCACTAATGATAGTTGATAAATTTTGTAGGTGACTTTTTCGACGAGTTACTTAAATTCAGTACTTGACAAGGGTAAGTAGAGAATGGTGTTCCTAAAAGATCGAACTTGTAGCTGTAAAAGGTTTCAGTTGGATGAGCTGCCATGTGCACATGCTTGGGCAATATTAAAATACAAATACACTGATCACACTGAGTATTGCTCGGTGTACTACACCACGAAGTACCTATTGAAGACCTATGAAATTCCAATTTATCCGGTTCCTGATGAAAGCATATGGGAACTTCCTGCAGAAGTTCTAAATGAAAAAGTCTTGCCACCAGACATGACTAAAAAATAGGAAGGCCAAGGAAGGGGAGGTACAAGCCAATATTTGAAAGGGAACGAAAAAGGTCGATTTCATGTGGACAGTGTGGAGAAGAAGGTCGCAATAGGAAAACTTGTAGAAATAATCCAAAGAGAGGATGAAATATGTCAAATTTAGAATTACTTGTTATTTTACTTTACTGAATATCATAGAGATTTAGAAGAATGCAATATATCAAGAACTATATCATTGTAGAATGTCATTTGAATTTTCGATATAAATAAATATTTGACCTATCATTTAAAATCGTATTGCAAGTTTATATTATACATCTGTTTGATTAAAAAGAAGTTGTATCAGCTATGTATCATATTTGTATCATATATGTATCGCTTGTGCATCGCATTTGTATCATATATGTATCGCTTGTGTATCACCTATGTATCTCTATGTATAGGCTCTTACTCATGCCTATATTTGTGTAGTAACAAAGCTAACTAATGGAAAACAGTTGTAGCAGCTAGAAAACTATGCAAATAGTTTTAAAAATTTGCAAATAAGAGTGGCTTCATCAATACATATTTGAAAACTGTGTATCATGTGTATCTATGATGATCCAAGAGGTCATCACTTGTTTTAAAATAAAATTCTGCATTTCGAGGATTTAAAAACCTATTTTAACATCACCTCAATTTGCGTGCACAGTCCGGGCGCGTTGCCGGAAAGCTTATATGTGAAAATCTGTGAAAAATGATAAATTTTGACTATAAAATGAATTAATTTGACTTCGATCAATATTTTGGGTAAACGAAACCGGACCCATGATTTGATAGTTCTGGAGGGTCCGTAGGAAAATGTGGGACTTAGGCATATGCTCGGAATCGAATTCCGAGGTTCCAAGCCCGAGAAATAAATTTTTAAAGAAAATTATTTTCTGAAATTGTTTGAAGGATTTGAAAATGAATTTTGATTATTACATGTTGGTATCGATCCAGTATTTTGATTCTGGCGCCTGGTACAGGTCTTATATGTTATTTATGATAATTCTATGAAGTTTGGTAAGAAATGGAATCCTTTTCACGTGATTCGGACCTTAATTGCAAAAAATTTGGTGTTTGAAGAAGTTTTGAGAAATTTCATTGATTTTGAGGTTTAATTCGATGTTCATGATGTTATTTTGGTGATTTGACTGCATGAACAAGTCTGTGGGATATTATTGAGATTGTATGTATATTTGGTTTGGATCCCCGAGGGCTCGGGTATGTTTTGGATAGGCCACGGGATGCATTTTGAACTTAGAAAAATTGCAGGTTTTCAGCTAATGTGCACAGGTCTACAGGCTTCGCAAATGTGAGCTCGCAAATGCGAGACCTCCATCGCAAATGTGAAAATGGGACCTGGGTAGGCCTGATCGCAAATGCGACCACTTGGCTCGCAAATGCGAAAGGCTAGTCGCAAATGCGACATTTTTTATCATAAATGCGAAAATCCCCTGTTCAGCCTTGGGTCGTAAATGCGACCCTGTCTTTGCAATTCCCAGCTCGCAAATGTGAGCCTCCCTTTGCATTTCCCAATATAGCAGAAGTCGGGGTTCGTAATTGCGAACCCCTATTCACAATTCCCATACTTGAGACCTGCAATTTTTACACTTAGACGATTTTAAACCTATTTTTCATATCCTCTCAAAACATAAACACACTAGAGCAATTTTTCAAAGGTTTCTTCTTCTCCAAATCAATTGTAAGTCATCTTTAACTAGTTTTCTTCAATCATTAACATCCTTTAACATGATTTCAACTTAAAATCAATGATTTACATGGAGGAAATTGGGTGTTTTTGGTAAAACCTAGGTTTTTTTAAAAAGAAATGGGGATTTGGACCTCGATTTGAGGTCCGATTTCAAAATAAATTATATATTTGGGTTCGTGGGGGAATGGGTAATCGAATTTTGGTTTGAACTCCGGGTTTTGACAGTGTGGGCCCGGGGGCAATTTTTGACTTTTTGGGCAAAACTTCGGGAAATTCATTTTCATGCATTCAAATTAATTCATTTAGCGTTTATTGATGTGATTAAGTAACTTGTGACTAGATACGAGCGAATTGGCGGTGCAATCAAGGGGTAAAGCCATAATTGAAACTTGAGTTGTGTTCGTGGCATCGAGATAAGTGTTTGGTCTAACCTTAGCTTGAGGGATTAGGAGTTGTGTTCTATTTGCTATTTGCTTCTTGTTGAGTACGACGTATAGGCATGGTGACGAGTATCTATACGTTGGTGTCGAGCATGACCGTGAGTCTTAAATTGTAATTTATTGTGTTCTTAAATGATACTACAAATGCTTTAATTGATGATTCTCGATATTGAGCAAGGATTAAGATTGTTTTCGTAGATATTACTTATGATTGAGTATTGGTGTTAGCTGAGATGGTTAGATGTTGGGTTAAGACTGGTTATAGTTGTTTCTCCCTTGCCGGGACGTATTTACTTTACTGTTGATTCCTTTGTCGGGATAGTGTAGATCTTTGTTGATCCCTTGCCGGGACTCTTGTTGTGGTTGTTGTTAAATGTTATATGTGGATCGGGTTGCATGTCGCAACAACGTTATATGTGGATCGGGTTGCACTCCGCAATAATGTTATATGTGGATCGGGTTGCACGCTGCAACAATGTTATATTGGATCAAGTTGCACGCCGCAACAGTGATATAAATGGATCGGGTTGCACGCCGCAACAGTGTTAAATGATAGGGATGGAGTTGCACGCCGCAACAGTGTTAATAATAGGGATCAGGTTTCTCACCGCAAAAATGTTAAATGATAGGGATCGGGTTGCGTGCCGCAACAATGTTATTATTGTTTTGTTGTTGTAGATTTTGAAGTGTTCTCGCATATGTCTCTTGAGTTTTTGCTGGATTTGATATTTTCCCCGTAGCATGTACCCCCTTCCATGTTAATTGTTTATTCCTGTTTATTTTCCGCTGTATATTATATAACTGCACAGGTTTATCTGGAGTCCGGTCCTAGCCTCATCATTACCTCGCCGGGGTTAGGCCAAACACTTACCAGCATACGGGGTCGGTTGTGTTGATGCTACACTCTACACTATGTGCAGATTCCGGAGCAGCCTTTGGACAGTAGCACTTGGGGAGCCTGCCTTCAGTCCAGCAAGAGATCCCGAGGTAGTCCTGCAGGTCCGCAGGCCCGACGTTCTCTTCTACTTTATTATGTACTCTATTTTGATTAGATTTTGAGACAGACTGTATTTCTTTCAGACATTTGTTGTAGTAATCTCAGTCCGTCCGTGATATTGTGACACCGGATTCCAGGTAGAGATGTGAGTTGTCATTATCGTACTGGTTTTGGTTATTATATTAGATTACGTCTTCTGCTTGATTGCATTTATCGTTAATAACTAAATGTTGGTTACCTGTTAAATTCAGATTGTTAAAAAGGGTTAAAAATGAAAGAGTTAGCGATTTCTATGTTTAGTGACTTGCCTAGCTTCTACGAGTAGGCGCCATCACGACTCCCGAGGGTGAAAAATCCGGGTCGTGACAATATCATATCTATATCATATCTATATCATGTATGTATCATGCGTGTATCTGCAAGAGACAATGTATCACAAACTACCGTATCTTTTTCATATCTATAATTCACAACACAAAATCAAGGGAGAAAACACCAAAATAAACTAAACTGCAACAATCCAATATCGCACTGAAACTCATTAAACCTTTATAACAGAGCAAACATCTCATTTTCCATACAATTCTTAAAAGTATTCATAAAATTCAAACACAAACAAATCTGACCCATCTTACAACAATGACAACATAACAGAACACAATACAAAAACAAAATTCTAGAGTTCATCCTATAACAATGACAAAAGTAACTACTTCTTCTACTTCCATGACTTATTCTGTCGACCGATAATCTTACATCACTTTGCGCGTTTAGTTCCATCTTCTTTCTAGCATAATCCCACAAGAGAGCACCAAATCTGCGCCGGTGTGCATAGGCATTGAATTTTTTAGGAGGCGTCTTTCCCTCAATGAAATACTTGGCAAATGATGCCGCAAATACACCGCAATCACTGCAAAAATAAAAGGAACAACAACTATCAAACTGCAGAATCTAAAAACAAGACAGATTGTGTTGAAAGACATTCATACATTTCGACTTGTTGAGGCAATCCTTCGACCAGTTTTACATCAAAGAGGGTAATCAAGTCTTTTGATTTGTAGACACCAGTGCGCCAATTGATATCTTTTTTATTTAAATAGAAATGCGTGTGCACGAAAAAATGAGGCAGCAACACAGAATACTTGGCCATGGTCTTATGAACTTTGGCTTGATGAGCAACTCCACCACGCATAGAGTCATACACATAAATGCACCTATCCTTGAAGGACATCACAGCCATTATCCAATGCCATTGTTATGCAATATTAATTGGCATTAAGACATGCTCGACAGTGTGCCATGGAACATTGGCATCCAAGACAAACCCC